CAATTATAATATTCCAGAACTGTCTTTGTCTTTTTCTTCTTAGAGTTTTTTTTAATCTCCTCAATAGTTGTATTAGTCCATTTGCTACAGAAATTCTGTGAATTTCTCTGATTTCAGCCATCTAAGAAGTTGGCTTAAAGAAGTTGGCATGGTTTCTTGCTATGCAAGCGAGCCTGTATATGACCCTTGGATTGGCATCCTCCTCTCTTTTTAGGTGACAATGAGATGCTGCAAGCTTATACTTTACATTTAAAGAAACCTCAGTTTCCTGTTTTGTGTAGACTTGAGGACCTGTTTTTGTTTAAACTACCACTTCAGAAGAAACCAGGATTTGAAACTATATTTCCATTCTGATTTCTAATAAACCACAGTTTTTTAAAATAGAAGGAGGAAATGTGATTTGCTTAAAAATGAATGTAACAGCTTATGGTGCAGTTCTGCAAAGGGAGAGAAAGAGAAGTTTGAGGGTTCATCCATATGTCTGGCTAGGCGTGGCATGGTGTGAGGAATTTCTGAGGAACAGGACCCACTATATTGTCCTCAATCCGCCCCCCAGCTCACTGTGAAGGCAACCTCTGCCTGTCTTTTCTTGTTCTGTGTTAAAAATAATGTGTTCCAACTTATGTTGGTGTTTTGCAGTATACCTTCAAATCATTCTGACAAATGCCTTCGCTCCAATTGGCTCCAGTTGCTCCAGTCACTGGTTGCTACCTCCATAGATGTCTTGTTATGGACTGTTGATCAGAGTGCCCCCTTCAGAAGGGACCTTCCCACTGTGGACATGTGAGGCTGGAGCTTTTCTTTAGGAGTTCACCAGTTCACCACAAGTTTTATAAGTACACTTTCTTTTTTAATCAGGTGAAATTAACAAGAATTCTGCCAGTTTCTATTTCTACTCAAGGGACAGAAAGAACATTAAAACTGCGCGTCACTGGTGAATGTGCCAGATGGACAGTGTTAAGGATAAGAGGGCATCAACAGAGGGGAGCCCATGCAAAATGTCTTTCAGTGGAAGCCGTGTGTTCTCAGAGACCTGCCCTTGGCAAGGAAGGGTAGGTGTTAGCTTTCCTGACTCTGGCAGGAGGGACAAAGAAGCAGGGAATCCATCAGTTAGGAATTGTGCTAACTGCTGCCTGACAAGACGCCTGGTCGGCATCATTGCCAAAACTGAAGAATGGATTGAAATCTGGGCTACAGTTCTTCCTTTTCAACCAGTTCCAGGATGGAAGACAAGTGCCTCTTTGGTAGAATGAAGGTGCTAGGCTTTGTTGTTGTTCAGTCGTTAAGTCGTGTCCGACTCTTCGTGACCCCATGAACCATATTGCGCCAGGCCTTC